ATGAGTAAAGCTGGGTGAATGTAAGCGTGTCTTCAGCAAGAACCCCCAGTGGCAAGCAGGATGGAGAATTGCTGCCCTTTGGCCCCCCATCCCCAGTGGCAGGCAGGATGGAGAATTGCTGCCCTTTGGCCCCTGCTCTGGGTCCTGCTACCACTCAGAAACTCTTGCTTTTCTGGCTGAACTGTTTCCCTATTTAGTTTTATTCTGGAGATGTTTGGGGAAGAGCAGACAAGGAACGCAGAGGTGGTTTTGGACGGGCAGTTTGTTTGCTTTAGTGTTGGGGAAGAAACCTTGATATTGAACATCCAAAAAGTTGGGTGAGCTCTGAGTGAAAATTTCTATTATCGTTATTTTGTTGTTGTGGATGTAGCGTTCAGCTGAAGGAACCAAATCCCAGCTCAGGGAAACTGCAAAATGTGAAAGTTGGTGGAATTCCAAAGAGAAATTGACATCTAGGTAAATGCTCTCTTTGAAGATGGCACAGTCATCACCGCCATCAGCTGCTTCTTCATCATCTTCTTCTTCATTATCATTGTCATCATCATCAATGCATGTGAGACCATGAACCTGCTTCATAAAAGCCAATAGCACCATCCTCATGGACATCTTTCTTCACCCACAGCAGCGTCTCAGCAGCATTGTGAACACCAACACAACAACTCTCTGCACCCACAGCAGCATCTCAGCAGCATTGTGAACACCAACACAACAACTTTAGGGGAAAATTGTCCTTTTTTGTAAAGGGTTGCCCCCATTATCCAAGCTGACAGTCTGAGTGCAGCAGTTCTGCACAGCAGCAGGGCCAGGAGGGTGCAGACGACCCCACCAATGACTTTCACCCTAATTACTGAAAAGCAGATTGAATGAAGGTGGTAGCCCCGGGGGAGGGGCTGAGCTCCAGGCCTGAGCCTGTCTCTTGATGCGCTGGTTGCTGCCTGTCACTGATTTACCCACCAGCTGTCACACAGAGAAGCGGATGATTTCCTCCCTATCGGAATGACTTGCTTCCTCCCCCTTGCTCTGCCATCCCCCGTGCTTTCTGTTGAAATCTGGAGCCCTGAGCTTGTATTTCCAGCTTTGTCACTAGTGGCTCTGGTCACAGGAGGCACTGCCCTGAGGGGTGTTAGCCCAGCAGGGGATGCAGGGATGGAGCCTGGTACCCTGCATGCCCAGAGCTGGAGCAACGAGCACCTTCCACCACTTTCCTGCCCCCCTCCCCACTCCAAGGTGTGAGGTGAACACAAAATTTGTTACCCCCCTGTATACATATATATTTTTTTTTTTTTTAATTAAATTTTGAGACTAGAAACTAGAAAGCTACGTGTGGGAACTGCGTGATATTCTCGGGGTTTTGGCATTCTGCTTTTGTGGCTATTAATAATCCCCCGGAGTGAGTCATATGGAGATGCATTTATTCACTGAGTCGGAGAGAGCTGCTACCCAAAATAGCAGCTATGTAATTTTTTATGATGCTGTAATGCCAGCGCGGCGAAGATTGACATCATTTAAGAGAGATGCTCCCTGCCTGGCAATCAGATAACCCATGTCAAGCCATAAAATAAACGTGGAAAGCCACGTGCTCAGTTACATAAAACAGCAGGGAGAGCCAGCCTCTGCTGAAAATGCTATTTCGCCCTTTTCCTGCACATCTTTTTTTCCCCCTTTACGCCTTTCTAAGCTTTCTGTTCTAATTTTCTTAAACCAGAGTGTGAGGAGCGTTGGGCCGGAGGAGGGATGGGGAAAGGGCTTGTGCTGTGGAGGGGAGGATCACACCCCTCTCTGCTGAGCAGTGTTTACTCCGTTACCACCCCGCTGCCAGGAGAGGTCCGTAGAGAAGTTCTAAAATGCATCTAATTCGGCACGTTCCGTTCTGAATTGCTCATTGTTTCTCCTTGACCATGTTGCGGCTCCGCATTTCCCTCTGCAAAGCTCCAGGCATCCTCCTCGGCCGTGGCTCGTGCCCAAAACCCAACAACTCCTTTCCATCCCTGTGCCAGCAGCCTGAGGTGTCGTGGAGGTGACAGCAGCACCTGGAGAAGGTAGAGAAGGCAGGCAGAGAAATGGTCTTCAGAGTGTTTTAAGAAAGGGTGAAACCCATTCTCTGTATTTCCTCTCATTCTCTGCCCTGCACTGCTGCCATCAGGTCTGTCCTGGTGTGGCAGCCCGTGGGGTGCCCGAGCCGTCCCAGGGTGGTCCTGGTGCTCCCCACAAGAACATCTGTGGTACCACCAAGTCTCCGCACGCTTTTTTTGAGCAATTTTGGCTTAAATAGCTCTGCCGTGGGACCAGCCCTGGTGTCGTGTCACGGCGCTGTGCCCTCCACCGAAGGATTAATGAAGATGAATTGGCCCACGCTGGGGTTTAATGGCTTGAGTGAACTTTCCCAGGCAAACAGTGTTTTATGGAGACCATTCCAGCTGGAAACGTTTATTAACTTTATCTTTTTTATGGAGCGCATAGGAAGAGAATGGGACTCCTGCCAGCGGCAGCTTCGGGCTGACGTGAGTGATGGGCCTTGGGACAAGCAGCAGCTGAAGAGGAATTTTTGTCAGAGCCGCTTCAATCCTCCAGCTTCAGGTGCCCGACTAGAAAGTGGAAATGTGAAAATTGATACAACTACTGGCGTAAAGTAATTACTGAGGACAGTTTTAGTAGGACACGTGATGTCCTGGTGCTGCTGTAACCCCACCCTTCATGCATCTCCACAGTGAGTGTTCCTGGGGAGCAGAAGTACCAGGAATGTGTTCAGACCCAGAAATAAGTAATTAAATATTCCTGATTTCTTGTTGGAAAATAAATATATAGAGAGGGGCAGGGAGAGCAGTACACCCTGGCTGTCATTTTTCTTAGCACTTTTGCCTTTTCAGAGGCCATCTGTGACAGGAGAACGACTCCTTGGTATTTCAAACAGGATCTGGGCATCGCAGCTGGCAAAGTGGTGGAGATGAACATGGAAAGATAAAACCAACTCCTCCAAGGACCACAGGAGGGTGTTGCTAAGAGAAAACCAGCTCCCCCAAGGACCACAGGAGGGTGTTGCTAAGAGAGAACATTGGTTCCTCTAAGAGAAATTTTTATCTTTTTTTCAAATAAAAAGTAGTGCATTTTGCTGAGAGTTTGCTCCAAGATCCCTCCAGTTACCCCAGTAGAGACGAGACAACTTTGCTGCTGTTGATGGGGCTCTGCTCCCATCTCCTCAGCCCCTGTCCACCAGCCCCTCTTTTTTGTGTTAGTTCAAGACTTGATTGGAGAAGAACATGAGCAAACCAGGGAGGTAGGGATGGGGCATCCCTGCAGGAAAAGGCAGAGCAGGCAGCAGGCCCCCAGTCACTATGAAGAAATTTGGCAAAATGCATGGAGATGTGGCCGCAAAGGGCTGCTCCATCACCCTGGAGATCTCAGTCCTGAAAGATTTAGTCCAAACCTCTCTTCCCCCTCCCTGTCTAAGCCCTTGCCCGTGGGCATCCACTCAAAGGAGATGCCACTGAGGACCATGATGCCAGAACTCCTCTTTCCACCTCTGCCTCACGGGTTGTTGTGGTATCTTTTTTATTCTGATTATTTTAATTGTTTCTGCAAAGCCCAGGTTTGCAATGGACAGGATCCTGAGACTGTTCCTCAGTTTGCCCATCTCTGAGCAGCATCACCCTACACCATCTGACCTGTTCGTCTGCCCATCCTCGCTAAAAGAAGGAGCTGCCACCACAACTGCAAGGTCAATAGACAGTAGACACCTATTTAAGGAACACCTACTACTCCCAAAATAAGCAGATGCAAAGGAAGCACATAGGACTTTAAGTATTGTTATACATCCTACACGTGTCCTTTGACCTTTGTTAAAGGTCCCTGAAGGGATGAGGAAGGCAGAAGGTGCCTTTGCTCCAAAACAGTATGTTAAAGAAATTTAGTGCTTCATTGGCAAGGTTGGTAATGGTTTCTACTTAATGAATGTCATAAACATTGCTAAACACTTAGAATCATAGAATTGTCCAGGTTGGAATGGACCTTTAAGATCATCTAGTCCAGCCATCAACCCAAGTGATAAAAGACCATCTCTAAACCATGTCTCTAAGCACTATGTCAACCCATTTTTAAATATCTCCAGGGATGGTGCCTCAACCACTGCCCTGGGCAGCCCATTCCAACGCTCCATAACCCTTTCAGTGCAAAAATTTTTCCTAATATCCAATTATATATATCCAATAACCTAATATCCAATTGATATTTCCTAATATCCACTTGAACAAGGACTTAAATTTAAGGCTCCTGCATCTTTTATTTTCTTAACCTTAACTTCCATGGAGGAAAAGCTCATGGGAGTGGAGGTGTCAGAGAACAGCTGGTAACAGAAAGGAAAATGGGGTGTGTTTCTCTGGAACTTACCTTACCGTACTTGCACAAGAGAGACCTGTTTTCATTAGAAATGAAAAAAAAAAAAAAAAACAAAAAAACCCCACAAGATCTAAGTAGCTATACTTTAAACGAACTTTTGAAACTCTATTCTCACTGCAGGAACAGATTTTTTTTTTTAAATAAAAATGCCCAAGTCATAGAAAAACAGAGGCTGAACCAGTCCAATTAGACCAGGCTGCTGAGAGCCTTTCCAGTCTACTTCTGATTTTATACTGAAAAGCTGTTTCTATATAGTTTATATAGTATATCTCTGGTTTTGGCCACCCTCACAGTGAAGAGTTATCCCTTATTTCAGAATCTCCTGCACTGCAGGGTGTCTGTTGCCTTCACCCAGGGCTGTGCACCCCCGTGCCCCCCCACAGCCAGGCTCACAGTCGGGGTGAAGGCACCTCGCTGGGCAGTTCAGAAACTGCTGTCAATTTACACAGCTTGACCAGAATCTGTTTCTATATAGTTTATATAGTATATCTCTGGTTTTGGCCACCCTCACAGTGAAGAGTTATCCCTTATTTCAGAATCTCCTGCACTGCAGGGTGTCTGTTGCCTTCACCCAGGGCAGTTCAGAAGCTGCTGTCAATTTACACAGCTTGACCAGAATATTTACATTTTTATTAAATCTTTACAATCAGCAATTATAATCAAGTACACAATTATGTACACAGATTATATACATTTTAGCCCAGACTTTTACATCACAGTACATAGTTGCCCTTAGAAATATTGTATACACTTACCACCAGACAGTAAAACCCAACAATAGTGTTACAGCACCTGTTATTAGACATCTTTCATAAGAAAATATACGGCTGTAAATTGGGCTGGATTAAAAAAAAAAAAAGAAGAATCTTATAAAATCTGAACATACAATATTTCATTCACAGAATGTTTTGTGGTTTGGTTTTTTTTTTTCCTCTATGTTCTGACTGATGCCTTTTGCATAAGATGTCCCACTTTTAACCCCTTGACATACACTTACTCATTCCTACCACTGTGCCTTCAGCTACGCTGGCAGCGGGAGGAGAACCAAAGCTGGGCTCATTTGGAAACTTTATTAAAATACAATAAATGTAAACAATTGAGAATATTCCTCTAAGATCAAATAAGAACTTAATCAGCTGATCTGAATTATATATGGCATGGAATAAGTGCTAGCTCCAGCTGTGATTCCCAAATTCTTCAGTGTTCAATACCATACAAATAAATGTACAATACCATAGAAGGGAAGAGGAGACTGGTGAATGCAATATTCCACATGGAGGGAGCAGACTTCTAAAACAATTTGGGAAGAACACTGACACCCCTCACCAAAAGTTCTTCTTTTTGATGAATACATTCGTCTTCGCTTTTTAAGATGACAGTGAAAGAAAACTGAATTATTTTCAGACTGATATGAAAAGGTTAACCTAACACCTGTTTCCTCGTAAGGAAATACAAATTGTAAAGAACCTGAATAAAACTGCCCCCCCCCCAATTTAGTCCTCTTTCCCAGAAGGTCAACCTTACCCCATTCAGTTCTGTAAACAAAGCTATGGCTCTTACGATGGTTTCAAAGGTAAAGTAGAACAAACTGAAACAAAACCGGAAAGAAACCCCAACCCAAAAAGAGGGAGGCAACAGTTCTCTATCTGAGGTAGGCCACCACCAAAAGGATGCTTCAAACATCAGAGTTCTGGGATTGTTCAAAAATCCCTCAAAAGGAGAGCTAATGTCTGCTGCTTTATCGATAGATGTGGAAAAGCCATTCAATAAGAATGAGCGAGTGGTGGCAAGAAAAGTTCATCTTTTAATAAAATTTAAACACCTAAATTTTCTGCAAGTAAAAAAAAGAAAACCTTTAGCTGCTATACTGGCAGTCTTAACATAACGAGCAGAGGGCCTCTACAACTATAAAAGGATTTGGTTTCCACCAGAAGAGCTAACAAGGATGAAGATGTAACCCACATCAAAGAGCACGGGAACAAAACTGCTCCTTTTGTGGCACTAAGCACTGACAGAGTGAAACCTCTGGGTTTGATCCTGCAGCTGCCTGCACTTGGCCACGCTGCCTTGAGTCCAGGCCCTGCCAGGGGAGCACAGTGTCCCTCAGGACGGACCGGGGCTCCAGGGAACAAAGGACACTTGGAAGGCTCCCGTGATCAAACTCCTCACATGACAAAAAAACATAAATAAAAAAAAAATTCTCAACTGAAAACCACCAGCTGCTTCAAGCCCTACTCATTCAGTCCAAACCTCCATCCAGTTATTTGTGCAAAGGAATTATAACTACATTTAAAAGCTGATTTCTTTAAAAGGACACTTATTCACTATTCCACTACCGCTTCTTTTTCTCCTTGAAATGACCTCCTGCTCGAGTGATTTAAAGTTATTCAGTTTATGGATAATAGTCTGACTGTCATGCTCTCAAAAGGTGCCTGTGCATTTTGATACTCTTGAAAGCAAGTGTCATTAAGTACACATGTATACAACATTTGCCTGGGATTTCTCCATTCATACTGTACAGGAGTATACATAAATAAATACAGTATGGCTGTACTAATTAACAGTTGCATATTCAGCACACAAAATTTCACCAGCTAAATGGAAGGTGCAGTTCTGATTGGGGCGCTTTTTTATTCCATCGTAAAGATTAATATAAACCTCCATTTTTAGCCTGGTGCAGCATATAGGCAGTATTAATTTACTCTTTAATATAAAACAATTCTTTGAACCACAACTCACTAAAAGCGGTTTATATAAATCAAGTTAATTTGTTTTTGGCAGTTTCTTTGGACACAGTCAAAACGTCTCTCAGTTGTTTAAAACATCCCCGTTTTTATCTAAATAATGCTTTTTTCATAATAGGGATAACAAATTAGGACTCACACTTACCTGTAACAATCTCCCAAAGCCCAGAGTAACACATCAGCCATCCTTGTGGGTCATGCCACTACACTGAGCTATGGACCCAAGAGCCAGAATCATTGCATTTCACTGCTGGGACTGGCCTCCTTGCCTTAAGCATCACACGTACACAAGTTGCGTATAAAAAGAACGATAATGCAGTCAAGCTGTTAGAAATCAAATTTGTAGAAAAAGGAAGATTTTTTGTTATAACCGATCTAGTTCCGTTTAGCGTCCGTTCAGAGAATATTGCCAGTTTAAATTCTGTATCTCAGGGTACATTTTTGAACCTGGAAGGCCAAAGGAAACACCTGTAACTCAACATCTACCTTGACCACTTTACCTTAACCTCAAGCAGAACTTCCACAACACACCGTGACCCTTTATCTGGTAGACCCCAAAGGAGCAAAGCTGCCTTCGTTTCCCTGATGGAACCTGCTTACAAAGCACACGCTGCCTTTGGTTTGTACAGTTTCTCTAGTTGAAAGTGGAGCAGAAGGGAAAACTCACATATCATCATGGTCGTTCTTCATGGTAATGGATGGAAGGAGTGATGAGCAACACCACCACGTCTCAGTATGATGTGATGGGACAAGTTCTAGCTGTGTCTTAAAGACAAGAGAACCAGAAACATAATGTCACCCGCTGCTGTCAATGAAGGCTTTCAACTCAGTAGAGACCAGGGAAAGCCACAGCCATGGCTGACCTCCAGCCTTCCAGTGCGCTCCCCGATAACCGTTCATGGCGTGGTCACCCCACTGCCTTCAACTCCTGCCTTCCAGAGACCCAAGGGAGCCTGACCTCTTGGAGCCTGGAAGGCAGAAGTTGGGCTCGTTCCCCAAATGAGCCTCCTGGGTTACAGCACCATGCAGGGGAGCCAGGCTAATGCTTCAATTGCACGTTCCCATTTTTAAACAGGAAAAATTAAAAAAAATACAAAGAGCACGTGCTGGATTTGTGTGGTAATTTCCAGGTGAAATCTGGTTGCTCATCACAATACTGAACACGTTTACTCGTTCTCAGATATCAGGGCCTCGCTTTTACCCAAAAGAGTTCTCCACTTGTTTATTAACAAATAAGTTACTATTACAAGTCATAGCTCATCCTTTTCCATCATTTCAAATGCTTCTATATCTTCGTTCCAGTCTGCTAATATGGATTCCATAGGTTGGACTTTATTATCCCAGTTAACTTTGGAATTTGACTCTGTCTCGGTCTTTTGTTCCTGAGGCTGGTGATCCCCTGGCGTACACGCTGGCTCCGGAGCGCCGGCCTCATCGGTTCCGGGGACGTAGGAATCCTGATTTGAAATGGAAATGCTGTCCCTGTCTGCCTCAGCAGGAGATAAAGAATCAGGGTCAGTAACGTCAGAGCTTTCTCCTTCTTCGGGCTCCTCACTGACCGCGCCAACATCCTGAGATGCTGAAGGAGCTTCTTCTGAATTCTGTTTATGTGAATCGTTTTCAGATAATTTCTGGTCCATATTCTCCATTTCCAAGTCTTTGAGAGGGGAGAGAAGAAAAAAAAAAAAAGAAAACCCACATTTTAAAAAAAACCCAAACACCTAGGAAGGCAGCATTTTATTATGTACTTCATAAGCAAGGTCACCTCCCTTGACCTTATTCCTCAAGGAAGTGCAGACTTTCCATTGATATGAAAACTTAATGTTATCAAGAAACATATTTTACAGAGGGAGATGAGGCAAGACATTTAAACAAGGGCAAACAATATAGTGAGATTAGTTTGGGTTCCTCAAAGTGGAATAGTGACTTCTGGATCAGTGCTAGTTGCCATCTTTCAGTCTCAGGCAAATATCCATGGCGTGCACTGAACTTTAAAGCTCTCCCAGGTCCAGGATCCCACTTCTAAGCAAGTGGGAGACACAGTTTCTTAATTTTACTGAACTGTGAATTAAAGAGAGCCAAAGCCCAAACCTCCCTTGTCACATCCCCACTCAAAGCAACTAACAGACCTAACTCAGGCAGTGATTTAGCTTGTAACTTTGCAACAGCTGCCCCATTTAACCACACAGATTTCTTTGGAGTTAGATGTTTATGCCTAGTATACAGGACACTAATATTTCAGGACTTCTATGGAGTTTAACTGAATATGCCATGTTTAACACGGGATACTTACTGCTATCAATAATGTAGTTTGGAATCATTTTACCTTTAAAGATTGTTGCTGGGATTCCAAACGGAAGCAGGAGGAGGGGGAAGAAGCAGATAGGCATTACAAAATCTCAAATGCAGAGCTATCTTTTGTACTTACTATTTTCTTAGAGCAGATTACCCATAGTTATAAACAGGAGACATTTGTAAGCAGCTATGAAGAAACAACACTGCAGCTTTTGACATAACACCTTTGCAAATGTGCACAAAATAAACGCTGTCACTGGTTTATTAGAGATACTTGTTCTCACATACTCTGCGTGGCCAAAGCAGCGCTACGCCGAAGGCTGACAAAGAGAAAACCTAGCATTTTCTATCATATGCAAACATGTTAATTGGAAATGTATTAGCTTGCAATTTTCTTGTATTATACAAGAAAAACTGCAGAACATCTGAGGTCAGCAGCCTTATTTCTCATGATAACAAATTCTCCTTAGATAGGCAAAATAGTCGTAACAGTTGTCTCTCTCCTTTTGGGTACCAAGTGTGTCACTGGGGAGGTTGGTAGGAGAGAGGCATTTACAATGTAGGGCACTGAAAGCACTTATGCTATTCCTGACGCCACTTCAAAGCAGATTGTGACAAAAAAAGGTTCAAAAGGAATCCAAAAGGCTGTATTTTCTCATTTAGTCAAAGTGACATTTAACTTCAGAACAACACATCTCAGATATTAGTTGTTTGATAAGAAAGCCATTACCAACGTCAAACAGAAAACTAGAGCTACCAAATAATGTATTTGCACCTTTGGCAATAGAAATCACTATGATACATTCCACATTGTGCCACGGCACAGATGGAGGCTAAAATTGTATAAATAACCTCTAATCTTACCTCTGTCTTTTGCTTTATCAGAAAGGAGCACCTCCACAGACTCGTACTCCCGGATGGCATCCAGGATAATGTTTCCTTCCTTATTGAAGAGGAAGAGCATGGGGATCGTGATGTCGTCCGTGTTCTTTCCATCACCAGCCATTTGGAAGAGAGGAGCTGTGTCACTGCTGCTTCCCTCGTTGTCATCTAGCCAGACACAGACACAAGGAACAGCGAGCAAACCTCCTGTTAGATAAACAGACTACAACTCTGAACTTCAGCAGGTTTCTTTTAGCGGCTTTCTACTGCCCGGTCAGTTAAGAGGATCTTGGGCAGAAAATAGTAAGTCGGTTGTAAAAAGCAAAAATCCAACTTGTGCACTTGTTTTCCTTATCATTTCTCATTTGTAACTCAAGTCTTCTTCAGTAGATAGCACTATTTCAACACTCAGTGATCCTTAAAATAACAACTTCTCATCTGCAAAAGCCGTGACAACCACCCATCCCAGTTTCTCTAGCTCTACTTTCTGTGCAGAACCAAACAAAAGCAAAATATCTCTTCATCTTCTAAAAGTGCAATTTCTACACTGGAGCACTGTCACCTCAGAGAGTTTAACAGCTTCTTGTCAGCTTTCCAGTATCTTCAAATCTGTAAAATATAGGTTACATCTACACAAACTTAAGATTTTAAGAAGTTAAGAATTTATTTACCAATAACAATGCCACCTATTGCTCCAGCTTTTTGAATGTTCCGTGCCTTTTCAGCAAACATACACTGGCCTCTTTGCATCAGAGCAATTTTCTCTTTCACCACCTCAGGATTAGTGATCTCGGAGCATCCATTATATGGCTTAATGGTTGCAACAAATCCTCTTGTCTGTTTGGAAAAACAAAAACAAACAGAAAGAGAGGTTCAAACTTGCAAAAGATTCCTAAGCATGTTCATTTCTTCAGTCCCTCTAATGCATTTAGTGTTGTCTTCTCTCAGTGCAGGCAATCTCTACCCTGAAGCTGGAGTTCTAAGAAGCCAAGAAAGATCGAGTGAAACCCAAGTTCTGATATTCAGTGTATTTTGTCTATACCTGTGAACTGCTGTCTCTGGAAAAATTTCTTCTTGTCAATTGCTAGTGTGGAACTCCTCTTTTGGGCTGCATCTTGCCCAATCCAAGTCATCGAGTTTTCTTACTGCTTCCAGTAAGGACCATTGCCTCTGTGATATTTTCTTCTTCCATCTAGATACAGCCTTTTATAAAAGCTTGTGTAAGAACAGCCAATTCTAACTCTAAAAGAGCTTCTGCAAATCCATGGCTGACACAGTAGGGAAAACTTCCCTTAAATTAATATCTCTTAAGATACGCACTGCAGATTATATTATTCTAACTCTAAAAGAGCTTCTGCAACCATGGCTGACACAGTAGGAAAAACTTCCCTTAAATTACTATCTCTTAAGATACGCACTGCAGATTATATAAATTGCTTTCAAAAAATCATACTACATATGCATTTTAAATCCAAAATCATGACTGATGACTCAGGAGCAGAGCATGGGCCATGGACTGATAAGCCACTCATCTAAAAGACACTCACTGCTGTCACTCTGTCATTGCTGCGCTCTGTCATTTTAACCACTGTAATTAATTGATGGCTCTCTCGCTGGCCATCCTGAAATAGCACCAATACTGTAAAATTTAGGTTTATTCAATAAGGAAAGTAACAGAAAGCTAGGAACAGATCACATCTCACATACCCCTGCTTTGTGTTTGGATAAATCCATCCCAAATTGTGCTGGGCCAGCGGTCAAGACCACCCTGCCAAAGAAGGGATGGGAAACGATCTGAACAGCACGAGGAGGCAGCTGCTGCTCCTTCTGTTGCTGACTGGAGAGTTCAATCATTTCTTGCATGAACCGTAAGCCATCTTCAGCATCAAGTGAACTTGCTGCCTGAGTAGTAAAGAAACAATAAACAGTTTCTTCTTAAATTTTTGAGAAACTTTGGGAAAAAAAAACCCACCAAAACCAAAACAAACAAGCCATCCTGAAGTTAGGTTTGCTTGGATCACTGCTACGGAGATTTTAAAATACAGAGTGAATGCTCACTGACACCCATTCATATTTCAAATGAGGAATTTAACTTTGTAGCATCTCCACTACACTGTAGACTAAAAAAATATATAACCATATAGATCTCCTAAACAAACACAAATATCTCACGCTGAAAACTAATATTTTCAGATAAGATGTTATTAACTGCATCACTTCAACAAGAACAGCCTCCATCTATTTTAATGGAAGACTGGTTAAAAATGTTCCTGAGGCAAAACATTACCAAGCATCAACCTGCTAAATGTAGTTGCACATTCAAGCTCATGTGTCCCCTTCTGCAGTCCAGCTGTCCTGAACCTCTAAGTGTTAAATCTCATTGCTAGTAGCATTTTACTAAAGGTTTTCAAAAAAAGTACTGTCAGGTCTTACTTGCACTGCGTGCTGTACTAATTGTACTCTTCCATCTTTTAAATGAATCAAACTGACTCCCATCTTCTTCAGTATCTCCAAGTGCTCGGGATTACTGGCCATGAAATCTCTGGCTCTCAATGGTGGTTTTGGTCCACTTCCCAAACTCTCTTCTCTGCCAAAAGGTATTAGAGATCAAAGGTTTAAAAAACAGATTATTCTTGAAACGAGACTTTTACGTTATTCCTATCACCACAAGATTAGAATTCTTTGGAATAATGTTGCGTACAAGCTTCACTCGAATGCAACTTCTCAGTCACACTATCTTTTTTAAAAGTTGTCACTATTATCAATAACTTTGTGTGCAAGAAAAAGCACACACAATGTTGGTAACAAAACTACCATACACCAGCTCTCACTTCCAAATAGTCTGCATTATTGTAAGACTGACTAAAAACAGTTTTGTTCATACAGTTGCTTCTCAGTTTTACTCATTATGTACAAATACCAAAGAGGTGTTCAGGATAAACTTCCTCAGCTTTAACAGACCATCCTAAATTCTCCAAAACAGGTAAAGTTATGTATCATAGAATCATAGAATGATTGGTGGTATGATTTGCTTCCTACAAAGAAGAATTGCAGAACTGTTCAAGAGACTGAGACTTTTACGTTATTCCTATCACCGCAAGATTAGAATTCTTTGGAATAATGCTGAGTACAAGCTTCACTCGAATGCAACTTCTCAGTCAAAATATCTTTTTTTAAAGTTGTCACTATTATCAATAATTTTGTGTGCAAAAAAAGCACACACAATGTTGGTAACAAAACTACCATACGCCAGCTCTCACTTCTAAATAGTCTGCATTATTGTAAGACTGACTTAAATCAGTTTTCTTCATACAGTTGCTTCTCAGTTTTATTCATTAAGTATAAATACCAAAGAGGTGTTCAGAATAAACTTCCTCAGCTTTAACAGACCATCCTAAATTCTCCAAAACAGGTGAAGTTATGTATCATAGAATGATTGGTGGTATGATTTGCTTCCTACAAAGAAGAATTGCAGAACTGTTCAAGAGACTACAGAAATAAATTTTACAAATCAAAGAGATATATTTCATGTAACACCTGGGCTACAATTCCCACTCTGAGTATGTGGCTCATTAAGCTCCTTTTGCTTTGAAAGACCCACTAACTCCTGCTGGCAATGAACTAAGCTGATGATGCCAGACAAAACAGAACTGATTTTTCCTGTAGCTAGGCTGTCCATTTCAAAAGGACTCCAAACTCAAGCAGAGCAAGCTCCAATGACGCTTCATATTTCTCCTTCCATGCACAACAGACTATTCCCCTCACTACACTAAGAAAAGACAAGAAAATATTCCTCTTACGCTCTGGAAATACCCCTGGGACAGCTCTTATCCACCACGTTTTTCAAAGGTTCACGAATACTCTGAGCAAACATAGGGTCATTTGGGAAAAGAATCTGGGTGTTGGGACAGGTCCAGTCAAAGTTGCTGTCGTCCAGCTCTGTGTATTCTGTAGTCTAAAATGGAAGATACAGACCACCTATTAAAAATGTAGGTTACATTTTCATACAAAGAAAATCAACACGTAGACCCACCCTTAAGTAATTTGTGTACCTGGGACATAAGAGCAGCTGAATTCAATAAATATCCTACAACCACACACATTCCAGGAATGAAGAAAACATCACTCTTCTGTGCCACACCTTGTAATAATAAAGGGCAACCAGTGCACTACAACCCCTTTCTAGGAACAGATAAATACAATACCAGTTCTAACTTGCAACTTACCAAACTTGTATCCACAGTATCTAGACATTTTTTGCAAAACCAGCTAATCCTCTACTGACAAACAGTACTTACCAAGCCCACTCATGACATAGCTAGTGCCCCTGTACTTTTCTGTGCTGGACAACTAAAAGAAGTAGATACAATTCCATTTGATATTGCCTTATGCTGAGTGGACCAGCTGCAGGCCTTAGGTAATTTTTGCTAATACAATTCCATCTGATATTGCCTTTATGCTGAGCAGACCAGCTGCAGGCCTTAGGTAATTTTTGCTTCGTATTACTAAGAATGCCACATCTTTTCATATGAACAAAAGATTCTCCTCCTCAGGAGCCATCCAGACTTGCAAGTCTCAATGGGGAAGGATGAATCTATATATAATTCAAGCAATCTCTATTTTCAGAAGAGATGACAGAGTTAACATTTACACAAATTGCTGTTTTGTAACATGTGAAGCCAGGTGGAACATGCACAGTAATTTGGAACCATATTTAGTCTGTTCTTAGTCTGTTTTGTCTGTTCTTATTTTCTCACCTATAAAAAAATTAAAGTATTTATCTACTTGCAAAAAAGCCTGTTTGCAATATATTAGCTAATTAAAAATCAAGTATTTAAAAGCTCCCCTAAACCCAAGACCTAAAAGGCTATTAGTTTACTAGAATAAACACTTTAAAGTACCTATGCTCTTAGTGTGACAAATATTAGTCACATCACTCAGGAAAGAAGGTCTTGCAAGCACTATTGCAACCATCAGTGTGCTAAGACACGACCTTTCCTGTTTACAGGAATAAATACAAACAGGATGCTGGGTTGCTACTACCAACTATTTCACAGACATTTTGACTTACTAGCACTGTGTTTATATTAAAAATAATTTACACATTCCATTTATTCTGATCATTTTTTCCCCCATCAGATAAATTCCATCAAGAGTAACACACTCATCTTCACAGCCTTTTAGCTGCTTAATGCACTTTGTTGACACCATTTTCAATGCATCTTTCTTACTTGTATTATGGAGGTTAGCAGCTTTGACTTAAAGAGCTTAAGAAAACTGCATTTGAACAGTTTACTCTATCTCCTTTATTGGCCTTTTATTAACATTTGCTGTTCTCAAGAGAACTACGTATGTCAGCTGTGGGAATCCTGTCTGCCTCAAAAATATCAACTTCTCATGTTGTAACCAAAGTTACACAAAATGCTCCTTCAGACCCTTCAGAGGGAAGACAACTTCTTGCATAGTTTAAAAAGCAGAGTCTCTGTTTCCAAAACTCAAAGACAAATGATAAATGCTCAAGTACAGAACATTCATAGAGGGTGCAGGATTTTCACCATCAAGGAATGTGAAAAAACAACCCCCCATTAAATGTATTACTGATGTCAGACATTACGAGACTAAAAATTGTTCACTGCCTAATGCTAGAATCCATAAAACAGAGTTTTTTATGCTCAATTTTAAGATTTCTCCAGGACCCATAGGCTTGACACGCACAACATCAGCATTTTCCTCTGATCCAGGCATTATTGTAGAACACACAGTAAAGGGTAAGAATAAAGGCACACTAGCATAAGGGAATTTACATCTCTGACACCCTGGACACCTTTCTATTCACTTTTGCCCACATTTCTCTTATTTGCCACTAGTATTATTGCCTTAAAGATTGATTAATTATGTCACCTTATTGAGCACAAAACCAAAAAAGAGAGTATTTATGATGCTTCCCAGCACAGTTGTATTATTATAGGTGACTTTGGAAGGCTAAGTAATTTATAAACTGATAATTGTTCTCAGTTACACAACAGATGTCTGTTGCATGGACTAAAGCAATCACGTACCCAAAGGGTACAGCTGTACCTTGGCAAACTAACTTGTAGCGGTCTCAAAAAACCTTTCAAAATTTACCAAGGGTTTGTGCAGTAAAATAAGCAACAACTTTGGCATGTTGTTGCAAATATATCAGAAAAAATAATAGAAAATAAAGATGAACATAAAAATACCAGTGTGCTATTTTCAAATTTATACAGAGGTGGGGAATAATTGTCTTTTTAAATATTGATAGCTTTCCACAGCTCTTTCTTCAAGATTCAGTGGTTAAATATTGCTAGTTTTCCACAGCTCTTTCTTCAAGATTCAGTGGTGCAGAATCCAGTCATTGAAACATTATTCATACTCATGTGACTGTTAAGTATGATAAAATACTTCATATTAAACGAAGTGTTTTAACACTGGTGTACTTCTTTAAACTATGATTTTTCCTGATTTTTCTTTCATTTCCTCTCATAAAAAAAAAGGAACTGCTTCAAAGCACCACTAAAATTGATTTAAATTTGAGCTGTCACTTACTGTATTTTTTTTAGAGATGGTTTGGTTTGTAGTGGAAAGCCAAAGTGGTAATAGATGAGCTTCTGTAGTGAAGATATAATCTTCAATGTCAAAAATCATATCTTCCTTATCAGCAAACAGCAGGTAAAGATATTTAAACATCTCTGCCAGAAAGAAAGAGTCCATTCTGTAGGGAAAAAACCAAACCAAAACAACATCATCATCAGGAAGATCCCTTTTTCTAAAACATCAGTAAAACAAATACTCATATTGCTCCATCTGTGAAGACTTCATTTACTATTATTGTTGAACTGAATTACATTAGTATTCTTTCCACATGGAATGAACTGTGTTTGGAGGGAAATGATTCAGCACGTTCAGTACAAAACAGCATTATAGAAAAAACAAATAAACCTCTTTACTAAGTTCTAGATTTGAAGTATATTTTGTTTGAAAGTAATTTGTTTATTGCTCTGAGATGAAATGTTAACTAAAAATATTCTTACGTAACAAACTATAAAATATTGAGTAGTTTATGATGAACTGGAAATTTAAGACGTGGGAAATGAAATGTTAACTAAAAATATTGAAATAGTTTATGATGAACTGAAAATTTAAGACATGGGTTATCAAACTGAAGGCAAACAGCTACTCAAAAGCCAATTAATTCAATTACATAATCATTTTCCTATCATCTTTTTGTGAAAAAAATACTTGCAAAATGCTTTACCTGTCTTCATGACTTCCTGTACGAACATCTTTCATTGCAGCAAACCCACAAGGTACTCTTGCATACTTGTTCAAGTTTTCAATGAGTGTTTTTCCAACTTCTAGATAGTAAGGGTCCCCAGTAGCCTGTAAAAGAAGAACAATCAGACAAAACCCAAACCCAAACATGTAGGTATTTACTTACTGTACAATTAACAGCTTTCATTTTCCTAATGCTAATTTATTGAACCCATACCTTCTCAGACACCAGCAAGGTCTAATTTAGTGGTAGTGCTTAACAGTCACAAGAGAGACTTCTGAGATACTACTGCATTATCTTTTAAGGATATGCAGATGAGCACATGGAAAGGCCTACAGAAATGCAAGACATTTAGGCACTGCTCTCCTCTGCAAGGTACAAGTGGCTTTTGCTCTTAGAGACTAAGATCTCTTCAAGAGAGATCAACACCACCTGAATATCTTTAAAAATATGGGCCCTTCTAATTCTAGGCATATAAAACGAAATTCCTAGAACAATTTTTGATAACCAATACTTTCATCTTGTTTATAAACAGAACTGGCTCCAGCTGGAGATAGGCTACTCATTCTATATTGAAATAAAACACCAACAAAATACCAGGTGCTAGACAAAGTGACCAAAAGTCAGAGGAATGAACGTGATCTTACTTTATACAAGAAGTAAGTGCTTTCGGCAAATTCAGGCCTTAAAGGATGCTGAGCCCAGTGAACTCTAAAGTCTGTTGTGAATGCCTGAGGGGAAAAAAGAACAGACAAAAATAAATGCAAGAATACAAACCATAGAATCATAGAATTGTCTAGGCCGGAAGGGACCTCCAAAGGTCATCTAGTCCAACCCCCCTGCAGTCAGCAGGGACACCCCCAACTAGACCAGGTTGCCCAGGGCCTTGTCAAGCCAAACACAGGTTTATTTTGAATCATACATCAACTTTACTACACTAGCTAAAGTACACAGCAGTAAGGACTGAAGGCCCAACAGCACTCTCAGGAGGCTGTAAGAACCTCTGTATAGTTAGTACATTTGAGGCCAAAACCTAAACCAGTGCTTGAACCCACGTAGCACGAGTGAGACTTAGTCTTGTGTTTGTGCAGGAGTCAGGATACCGCCCAGCCTCTTGACAAGGGTCCAACAAGTGGAGTTTTGGCAAAGGTGCCAGATAAGAACTTGGGCTCCAGGCCCGGGAGGCAGCACGCAGCCTCCAATTGCTCCCATCAGCACAAGCACACGACCACTGCTGCCACCCAACCAAAGCAGGACCATGAAGGGCCACTACGTGGAGACAACCTGAGCTTTGACAAATGCCATTTTTGCAAATTTACCTACCACCTGATACTTCCAGTGCATTAAACTGTCCTTTCAGACTGACAGATTTTAAGCAGCTGCTTCTAACATAAGAAATACCACAGACTAGAAGTCAGTTATCTAAAACTTGCCTAGTCTATGCGTTCACTCTTCATATGCACTGGCAAAAGCCACTTGTGGGGGCCTTACTTCTACTTCATACCAGGGTTTAAACTGTTTGCTGAAGGGGATGGCATACTGGCTTAAATACAACAAATTGATCTTTCAAAGTTCCATTCATAAGTACAAAGCACTGAAAAAACAACCCAAAAAAACCCCAAACACTTAAGGAGCCAAATGACACCATTTTAAAAGCTCTCAAAAAAAAAAAAATCCTTCCCATGCTTAGAAAGCTTCTTTAGTCTCAGTTTCCACATGAGGTGAATGCAATGTTAATTAAAATGTTCTCTAAAAAATAAGCTTACACCAGAGGAAAGTCACAATTCCAAATTGAGTCAGAAGCTCTCTCCTATATTCTGGGTCATCTCAGAATGACGACGCACACTTCAGCAGTTAAAAAAGCTTTTCTGTGCAGTATTAACTTGCTCAAAGACTGCACTTGCAATAGCTGCAGACAAGTTTGTGTACTTATTTTCAAGGACATTACGCAAAATTTCAGAACTTCCTCTCAGAACAATTCAGTCTTTTGTTTCCCTCCTTGGGGTAATTAAGATGACTGTGATCTTTAGCATTAATGCTATTATATTACTAAGCAGCTACTACTACATGTGCTTATGCAAGTTTTGCATACTGAAATGAGTCAAGGTCAATTTTGAAAGGCTGAAATATAAAGTCTAAACAATTATTAATAGCAGCAGCTTCCTATTATTGTGTTAAATACAGCATAACTGAAGGAAAAATATTTCATATCCAAAACACAGTTGTCATACATCAGAACTGTAAATCATATAAGAATGCTGTGGAAATGAGCCTTTGGCTTTAATGACACATACATTTTTTCAAACAGATAGCTGAGACAGCTCAAATTGAGGTAGGAATCATTCTACATGATCAAAAAATTACCACCTTACCTCTGGAAGAAAGTTATGCTTTTTTATAACCTGATACAGCATCTCATGAGTTTCAATAGCAGGTCTAATATCGCCCTTCAACACCTAGAATTCAATAATAAAATTAACATTAGTTCACCACGCAGAGGAATAATATTCAAAAGTTAGGCATAATCACTGCGTTTATGGAAGACCAATTTCTACATTTCCAGCAGATACATACTATAAATATTACCCCCTTTTAGTGTAAGTCATAGATATTCTGCAAGAGCTTTTTAAAAATCAGTGAGCTCATTAAGACTACTGCTATGCTGACAAAAGATCTCTATCATTTATAAAGAATTATGGTGAAAATGTGATTTAGTTTGTCTTAAAAATGTAAATGGCATACAAACTAGAAAATTTGTCACTAGACTACTAAAAAGGCAGCCTCATTTGAGTGTTTTCATGACTAGGAGCGAAGGGAGAAAATCAGACAGACATACTTTTCTTGATACTCAAGATGTCTAGAAATGCATGTCAACTTGCACTGAAGTGACAGCAGAAGTGAGCACAGAAATCCCCATTCAGAATTTTTGAAAATCAAATTACTAAGTTTGACTTGTCAATTATATATCCAGTCTATTTAATAATGTACTTGTTATTAAAATATTTTGCACGTGGATTTTAAACCTTACCTGCAATCCAGGGAAGAAAGCTAGCAAAGAATCCATCCAGGTCCTAGCATTTAGCATTGGTTTATGAATATGAACATCAAGAAGAAGAGGTGGTTGGCTGATGTATCTCATTATGGCATCGTAGTGCTGACAAACATCAGAAAAACACGAGTTTATACTATCAATATGTTTTATAAAACAGATAGAGATCACCAAACTATGGCATTTTATTGCAACGGAAGAACCAGTACTGCACTACAGTTAAGGCACATTTGTTATGGCTGAATCTTTAAGCACATGCTAAACAAAGCTCTAATTGCTTTCTCTGAACAAGAGAATTCTAAAACAAATACCTCTCAGAGATATTGAGGAAAGGAGACATTAAAAAAACCCAAAACAACTGGTACAATCATGAGCATGAGCCAAATCAACAGGAAACAGTTAACAGACATAACTGAGGGAAAATATAATAATGGTGGCTGCAGGTTAGGAACATGAAATATCATTACACTTAAAGTGTAAGCAATAGGCTTTTAGCTGCTGATTTATTCCAATTTTAATACTACTTATGATATAAAATCATGCTGTATGATATAAAATAATTTTATGATATAAAATGTTTTTGCTGGATATTGCTATTTTCAAAAAAACGCTCTTATGAAAGAATAATGATGCTGACACTGCTTAGTCATCTTATGAATGTAGTAATCTAAGTGTGTTTTTTACCTTGTAAGTACATTTAAATGTATATGGGGCTTTAAGATTTGCAGTGCAATGCAGGATCCAGACTTTGATTTTCAGGTCTTTTTTGTTGCTCCAGGACAGAAAGAAATTGTACCATAGCTTGTAACAAGAGGCTCTTATATTATTTTGTTCACCCAAGCTTAGCAAAAAATCATATTAAAAAGAGTTGGCACTAGACACATCAGAAGTCACAGAAATGGAACTAGAGATCTCTTCATAGGCTTCTCAGGCTAACAGCTGACTGACAATACAATTAGTCTTAGATTTGTCTTACAGAAGTCACAAACCTGAGTAAAGTGTAAACTTACTGTGTTAAATCTTTCCAGGAAACTGTCATCTCCCAGCAAGACATAGGCTTTTAATAAATATTCATAATACGAATCTATTCCTGCTCCAACTCCACTGTCTAGAAACAGTAGAAAATGAAAAGGTGGTTTTACTTTAAGTAGCCATATCAATATTTTCACATGGTTTCATTTTGATTTTAAAGGCTCTTTCAGTAAAAGGAAAAGCCTCCTATCACTTTAATTAAGGCACAGACACAGAAACACAACACTGTGTATGTCTACGCTAAAGGTTTTGCAGTAATATGGACAGACACACATTGAAGCCAGTTGTTTCACTTTTCTCAAAGGAAAATATTTCTACTGGCTGCCATACACAACCACAGTCCTATTTATATTTCTCCTACGTATTTATAGTAGAATCTCTGAAAATTTATCCCAGGCATTCCCTTCTCAGTATTAAAGTGAATCAGAGAACACTTTCTTTGCAATGAATAAAACTAGTTTATCTACCAAAACACCCTTTCAGAGCAAAGCCAGGCTTCGTTGCAGCAGGTTTCTCCAGTCCTGAGATTTATCTAACTCCTCTTGCCTATTCCATTAACATTTTTAAATAGTCTACATAAATGTGTTGGGGGGGTGTCAAGGTTTCTTTCTTGCCCGAGACCACTTGTGATCACTGATTGAGAGCCAGAATACAACACACCTTTGCGGACCCAGTCTCCAGTGTGAATATTAATGGTAACACCCACTAAATTGCTGCTGCGCTGTCTCTTTTCCCAAATAAAATCTAGCGCTTTCCGAGCATATTCCTGCAACAACAAGACACGCTCATTAAAGGAAGTTGTAGAGAAACACAGATACTAAAGAATGTCACTCTTTTGCCATGAAGTAACGTTTCATATCTAACAACTACAAAACTCAGTATTACATTACATACACTTAAACAGTAGGATGTTCAATCCATATTTTATATAAATAGTTAATTCAGTTGATGATTAAAAAGAATGGTGCTTGTCTACACTATTATTTACCAATAAGCTGCATGGTCTTAAGCAAGTCAAACATCCTTCCACAAGTCTCCTACTCTAAAATAACAGAAAGGACAGTGTAACCTAATTAAAAAAAATTTCAAGACATACAACAGCCTTAGAATCAAAATGGCCACATCTTTCTAGACATCTCAATGTGGAGCAGCAGCCTTTTTTTAATGAGTATACAAGTTAGATATATTCTTTATATACAGAAAAAGTAACTTAAAGGTAACAACCTATCCAACAAAAATGGCTCTAAGTTTCCAAACACACATACAGGAATTTAGGAGGCCAGGTTTTGCCAAAACACTCAACACCCCACTCTGCTTGCACATGGTTCCATGAAACTAAATGAAATACTAGGCCCATGATTAAAAATTTTTCAGATTCATTATTCTTTTGTCTATCGAAATTAAGATGCCATGAAGTAACGTTTCGTATCTAACAACTACAAAACTCAGTATTACATTACATACACTTAAACAGTAGGATGTTCAATCCATATTTTATATAAATAGTTAATTCAGTTGATGATTAAAAAGAATGGTGCTTGTCTACACTATTATTTACCAATAAGCTGCATGGTCTTAAGCAAGTCAAACATCCTTCCACAAGTCTCCTACTCTAAAATAACAGAAAGGACAGTGTAACCTAATTAAAAAAAATTTCAAGACATACAACAGCCTTAGAATCAAAATGGCCACATCTTTCTAGACATCTCAATGTGGAGCAGCAGCCTTTTTTTAATGAGTATACAAGTTAGATATATTCTTTATATACAGAAAAAGTAACTTAAAGGTAACAACCTATCCAACAAAAATGGCTCTAAGTTTCCAAACACACATACAGGAATTTAGGAGGCCAGGTTTTGCCAAAACACTCAACACCCCACTCTGCTTGCACATGGTTCCATGAAACTAAATGAAATACTAGGCCCATGATTAAAAATTTTTCAGATTAGAATTTTTTTAAAAGCCTAAAGATTTTCATTTAGCTTCCTGCTGACAATAGATCCCTAGATAAGCCTTGCACAACTTCAGTGGAACTACATGAGTGTGATTTTTTTTTCCATTGTGCTTTTTTTTTTTTTAAAGCTGCATTTTAAGGAACAAGTATCTAACTTTTCTACTTTGTAGTTCTAACCCCTGTACCCCAAAACTATGCAAGTATTATCTTTTAGCTAGTATTCAGTATATTTACCTCGTTTATTTCTGTATTACTGTAAATACTTTCAAACAAAATTGCATTCTGTGTTTTTTGAACAGTCAATTTAACACTTTTAGAAAAAAAGCCCACAAACAGAACAATTCTGAACACATGCAAACTTTTTGTAGAGAACAGCTAAGATATGCACCCATTTGATAAACTTAAAATTATTTTTCCAAAATTACAGAAATGTAGCAGAACACTAATGGATACCTAATCCCAAAAAATAAAATATCATGGAAAGCAAACCTCAAATATAGATGTTCCTGTGAATCGGCTTAAAGCTGCAAACTCAAGGATCAAGGTACCTGCACAAGCTGTACAGGTATCAGTTTCTGTTCCTGTTCTTGCTTCTGGATGTCTTACACCAAATTTTAAGTTAACCTAGAGAAAAGCAGAGATTATTATCCTTATTTTTACTAACTAAAAGACTTTACACTCCTGTGATAGGTCTGTAGGGCAACTATATAATTTATGCTTTTTCCAAAGGCAAGAAAAAAAATATCACACACACCTCTTTTCGTTTTGCTCTGCTTTACCAGACGCTGTCAGCTCAAACATACATAAAATTATCCAGAAATACCTAAAATACTCAACCCTGCAAAACAGGGACTTTTTGTTCTGCTTTACCAGACGCTGTCAGCTCAAACATACATAAAATTATCCAGAAATACCTAAAATACTCAACCCTGCAAAACAGGGACTGACCCAATTACCCATTGCCTGGTTCACTGGACATTTGAATAAAAGAATACTACCCTGAAAATCTAATTCTAGCAATGTATTTACCAGCAAACCAGAAACTCTGAACATCACAAGTGCTCATGGAAATTAAGCTTTGTAAATACCTCACTACTCCTGGCTCCAGAGAGTACCTGGTAGATGAATCCACTCTTGTAGCATGCACAACATAATTTTCTGCATTCTGGAAAGGGCTCCCTCAGCAGAAATTGTCAAACCCCAAACATTTGGAATTAGACATTTTCACTAGAAAAATGCTGATTCACTAAGCCCAAATTTTTAATTTATGGAAAAGTTTCCAATCAAAGCCACATCTCACAAACTCAATGGATGACATACACATGAAGTAGTTTTCTGTATTTCAAATAATACATACCATGCTTTGTTTGAATTTGATCAAAGCTTTTACATTAAGTGAATATTTTTAGATTACAGCTACCCTTCCCCTCTCAGAAAAGTAGATGTAGATCATGAAGATTAATCAGTTCCGTGCTCTTTCACTGTCTTAGGGAGAGTTATGTACCAGAACAAAAATTACTCTCCTCAGCTACTTGGTGGTGCCTACAGCAGCAGAGAGCAATAGACAGTGAAGAGACAAGATTTCTGCAGCTTCTATTTACCCACAGCAATACTAGAATTTTCAGAGCTGGAAACGTAGGGATTCAGAGCACCTAAAACTGTATTTTAAAATACTAGGTAGCATGTATTACAAATGAGCAGTTTATCTTTTGATTCTCTGTACACTTAATAAATATACAAGTGATTTTATAAACAGAGATAAAAACAAAACAACATAAAATTTGCTTACAGAAGTAATTCTGAAGTGCAGAAACCAGAGAACTTACTCTTGGATAAGGGAGACCACTAGTGGTGTTAAAAGCTGGTAAAAGCTTGTAGCCTAGTTCCTTTGCCATCTGCAGAAGTTCACCGTTGTACCACTGCATATATTCACCTTTTTCTTTCAGCATAATTGCCACTGAATGCCCACCTAGGAGACCTCTAAGAACACAAGAAAAATTATCCACATCTCAATTAGTATATTAATCTCAAGAACAATGCAGCAATTTCCACGATTTAGATGACTATGTAAGGAATTATGTTAACATGGCCCTAATTTTCAGAAATGCTGAGCAGATGCAACTCCAATTACAGTCAAGGTGAGCTGTCAGTATTTTGGAAGCAATTCTTATTGTCCAGGATTGAGTCCTAAACCATAGTTGAATCACTAATTCGTCAGAATAGTTATGTATGTAATAGCTTAAAAACTAACCTGCTCCAAACCCGCTTTGAGCAGCAAGCTGGACTACAGACCTCCAGAGGTCCCTCCCAACCTGAAATAATCCATTACCCTAAGTATTGAAATATTCTGTTAAATCAAGTATTGAACAGTGTAATCTGTAGGACTGTCTCCATTAAGAAAAAACACTGCTACCTCAGCATGCACAGGGGTTTTTTAATCAAAAAAGTTAAGCCTGCAGCAGTCAGATGGGGGCCAACTCGTTTTGGTACCACTGCATCAATTCCAGCCTAATATTCTAAAACCTTTCTTAGGGCAGGTGTGGAGCTCTGCTAACTGACAGAGGCACAACTGGTTTCAGTGAGGTGAAATAGCACAGAAAGGTATGCCTTAAGGACATTTAGCTAAAAGCCACATTTTTAAGAGCTTTGAAAAGATTAAAGTTACTCACCCAAGGACTCTTATGTTGGTTTCAAAGACAGATACAACTACGTCGTTATCTAAATTAACATCCTTTATTACTTTTTTTACAGCCTCTTCAAACTCTTTGGTTTTATTTAACACCTGGAATGCAAATGTAACCAGGGATTTAGGTTCCAACATATCTAATACAGTCACTCTCAGTGTGGAAGAACAAGCATAATGAATTAAAAAAGAAAGCATTTAACATGCTTAAATTGATATTCTGGTCCCACAGGGGCATACTCTGACACAGTGCAAAAAGACATGAGTATTACTGTTTTCTCATGAGATACATGAGAAAGAATAAAAGCTGTACACAATGAATAAAGTCACTGAGAATATACCTAAACCATTACTCAGGGATTTTTTGGTCCTTCCCCTACTCCTATGTCACGAGTGTAGTGAAAGAGGACTCAGTGGGCTGCAGGCTGTGCTGGCAGAGTGGGCAAAGACTGGCCTGCTGTGATGCCTCCAATTTCACAGAAGCCTCCTATCCCCAGACTAAGAAGCCACATCCTAAATTTGGTGAATCGTCCTAGCAGTCTTCCTCCTCCCAAGAGTTTTCTCCTTGTGTCTGAAGAACAGCTTGGGCATTTCCTACAGATTTTCTTTCACACTGACTTTCTTTCAGTTCAATCTTTTAAGAATCCTTACGACTTATCCAATTTGTTACCATAAGTGCCCTTAAATTCCAGAAGTGTTAATCCTGCCCTAAGACAAGAAAATAATAAATAAACCACAATAATCCATTTGAGTGTCTGATAGAAACCAGGAGTTCCAGACTCTGCATTATCAACATTTGTGGTCCCGATTCAAAAGAGCCAGGGGACATCTCACAGCACATCATAAAAAGAGAGCAGCTGTCAGACAAAGAGCATGATATGATTAACACACCAAATCAGTGCTGTAAGGATTTTCAAAACTTTTTAGATTTGTTTACCTGGAGATGTGAATGGCCAAAAATTCTTAATTTTCAAAGTCTATTTTATAATGACAAAATATGTCAAAAGGATTGAAATCTAGCAAAAAGTAGTTTATTAATGATTGGAGTCTTTTAATAAGAGATGGAACGTAAGTTTGGCAACACTTCTTGGCAAACACATCCAGCGTTGCTTTTTTAAAAAATATATTTAGGAGCATACAAATTCATCCGTGAAACGTGTACATAGAATTTAAAAATATAATTAATTCAGTAAGCATTAAGAGATGTTCACCCCTAAGTCAGCACGTTGTTTCAGACTAGAACAGGAAGGAAACTCACATATTTTTTGCTAAGTTAGAGCCCAAGAAAAGCAAGATAAGAAATCATCAATGAAATGTGAAGGAACTTTTCAGTATTCTTTTTGCAACAAACTCCAAATACCATCGACGCAGCACTTGGAAGTTCAAAACAAAATGAAAACCTAAAAATAAGTCTGAACATCAGGAGACTTTAGTTTATCAAACTTCATCAATAGATTTAACTTACCACAAGAGTGTCCAAGGTATCAATCAAGGTCAGCGAAAACCTATGAAACAAAATTTAAAGCAGATTTACTATAGACCTGTATGTGTAGAGATTAAATACTTTTAATAGTAACCAACAGCATTAGAAACTAAATTCTCACAGACCACAAGCTGCTAAAAAAATTAGTTGTACACAGTAAGTTTAATATCAAAACACCCTAGTAAGTTTCTTCCCTTTGTCAGTGACCAGATTTGGAGCTGACAGAAACAAGCTGTGATTATAAAGATAGCTTTGTTTACTGCAAAGCTTTCAAACTTCTTGTAAGCACATTACATTTTTATTCCTATTCTCCAAACAAATCTACTGAAAAAACCCAGCAGAATGGTTCAAGGTCACCTCTTTTTTTCTTTCTTTAAAAAAAAAAAATAAGTATGCTGCCTTAAGTGTAATAATAAAAAGATTTAGGAAGATCAAACATCATTCCAAGCTAAGTTTCCCCGACCAGGAACTGTTCTATTTACCTACTTCAGAAAAAGCTACAATTTGTTGCAATTTAACCCAGTGTTAAAATGAATGGTGAAAGACAAGAGAAAAATGCTGTTATTTCATTATGAACCTTCTATGTGGGATACAATGGAACAGGAAAATGTACAACAAAGGTAGTAAGGTGGAGGTGAAGGTATGGAGCAGCTTCTGTACTAGGAATAAGTGAACAGACCAGTGCTCTTCAGCCTGCAAAAGCTTAAGAAGATTTTCAAATCACATATGGCATGAAGAAAGTGAATGAGAATCTACAATTCACCGTTTCTCACAGTAAATTTCACCTGGTGCCATCCAGCACTAGCAAGTGGCAGGTTTAAAATAAATAACTACTTATTCCATAAAAAGAGAACACCAAGTCAGATCCATACTGTTTGAAACAGGAATATCATAATAATAAAGCTTGTCTTGTTCATATATTCTTCTCTAGGCCTGTTCTAGTGTATAACAACCTGAGTGGACCTTCAGCCTCAACCGACAAAATTGCTCTGATGTTAAGAAACAAACACCACACAGAGAATAAAATTTTGAGAATAAGATAGTATTAAAATTGAAAACTTTGGAAATAGTTACAACTGCCTATTGAACAACAAGCATCAAGAATTTAAGGAAGTGCCCAGTGTTTGATACCCTGTAGGCAACACACGATGCTTACTTAAAATTCTAATTAAGTGGTCATGTATTATAATTTTCTTTAATTTGTAAAGATATAGGACATTCTATGACTGTCTATGACTACACATAACTGCATAACAAACACAACGGTGGGGGGATTACGCATTGCACAGCTATAGAGAAGGCTGGTGCACAATTATACCCCCCAGGCCTCCAGGCAACCAGAAGTGCCCTGTACAGAACATGACTGATGAGCCAAATGGAAAAAAAAAAAAAAAAAAAGAAGAATTATATAAGAAATCTAATAAACATAGCTGATTATTAGGAACAGAAAAAAGCATATGTACCGAAAAATAATAAATACACTATTCAATGCATATAAGGGGCTGAAAGGTAGTTTTACCCAAATGATAGTATGTTTCTATGTAAAAAAAGGTAATTAAAAAGAATGCATGACAAGGATTAAAAATATATTTTCTTGACACATCTTCCTCATCAGTCGTATCTCTCAACTCCCCCAAGGCAGCAGGCTTATACAGGAATCTCTGGACTAAGGAACTTTTGTGCATAACAAAAATAACAGGCTCAATATCATAAAGTGAATTAGAAGTAGCATTTAAGACAAAGACTTCAGCTTTGATCAACACTATACTGTTTAGGGGCACTAAGCAGTGATACCAATTGAAAAAAAAAAAAAGATCAGCTATTTGTTATTAAGTATTTACCCTATAAACACAAACAGCACACGTACAGACAACATTCCTTGTGAAAAAAATCAATTATAAACACATTTAGAGTAATTCAATTTCACCTCTGATTGTTCAATCTAAGATGAAGAAAAACAGTCCTGAAATCTACATTTTGCTGGTCAAATGTATTTTGTGTTATAAGCTACCTTAAAAGGAAAAATATGAAGAATTTCAATGTCTGATATAATGTTATACTTTGGCAAAGGCCTCAGGCTACCACACACATGATAATCATTTGACTAATTATGTTTTCAGAGAGCTTTCTACTAAAAAAAAAATAATTTTAAAAACATTTGAAATATCACTTAAGGCCAGCACAATGGGTAGCAGTTTACTGTCTGTGCAGATTCTACTAAAAAAAATAATTTTAAAAGCATTTGAAATATCACTTAAGGCCGGCACAATGGGTAGCAGTTTACTGTCTGTGCAGCTGATAATTAACCCTCATAACCCCTATTTAGTAGCCAGATTTACTAATACCATAAATGACAGCTCACATTTGGAAGGCTTTCCTATCCTATCTCCATACTTGGAGAATGACTTAAAAAAAACCAAACCTCTCTTTGGCTCTCGCTCACTGGTCAACTCTTTTTTTCCGATGAAGACACAATTTCACATCAGTTAACATCATGGAAGGATATAATAAAAGTATTTCTGCCTAACTTGCAGGAAGTTCACAATCAGAGCTTTCTTTCCAGTAGCTTCTCCCTCACTCATGAGACAAATTACGGATTTGTCTGCACCCATAGAATCTTCTTCAACAAATGCAAGCTTCTGGATATGTCAATTGAAGGAACATGTTTTATGGGCTGCAAATTGTACTTTGATTCCTAGATGTTTACATGAGACAGAAACCATTTCAAATACTAACTTTCCCAAGGCATCGTCCACATCGCCTCGACTTGGTTCCTGACCCCGTACTCGTCCACGACAAGTTAAAGGCATGAGTTCATCAGCTGGATATGCATGCTCCTGGGGGGAAACAAAACAAGGGAGTAAGTTAGAACTGTAACAGCCAGTTCAGCAAACCCTCAGACCTCATCGAAAGGAAGTCCAATTACCCTGTACTTCAGAAAAACTGCATGATAATAACATAATTACAGAATCTTTGAGGTGAGGGATCTCTAGAGGCCAACTTGTCCAACACCTCTACTCAAGCAGAGCCATGTAGACCTAGTTGTCTAGGACAACACCCATACAACTTTTGAGTATCTCCAAGGAAGGAGAGTCCACAACCTCTCTCTGCAACCTGTGCCAGCACCCAGTCACCTTCACAGTAAAAAAGTGTCTCCTGATGTCCAGAAAAAGCCTCCTGTGTTGCAGTTTGTGCCTGTTGCCTCTGGTCCTGTCACTGGGCACCACTGAGAAGAGCCTGGCTCTGGCTTCTTTACAGCCTTCCTTCAGCTATTTATCCACATTGATAAGATCTCCCCGAGCCTTTTCTTCTCCAGGCTGCACAGCCCCAGCTCTGTCAGCCTTTCCCCAAAGATGCTCCAGTCTTCATTATCTTTGTGGCCCTTCGTTCAACTCTCTCCAGTACATCTGTATCTCTCGTACTGGGAAGGGCAGAACTGGACACAGTACTCCAGGTGTGGCCTCAACAGTGCTGAGTAGAGGTGAAGGATCACTTCCCTCAACCTTCTGGGACCATTTTGCCAAATGCAGCCCAGGATACTACTAGCCACCTCTGCTGCAAGGGCACATTGCTGGTCTGTGGTCAACTTGGTGCCCACCAGGACCCCCAGCTCCTTTTCCACAAAGCTGCTTTCCAGCAGGGTGGCTGGAAATGATGAAGCTACGGACAGAGCAACAGGACCTCCTTCCCCTTCTCACTCTCTCCAACCTCCCAGAGAAGTCTGGAGCAACTAACAGCACACCTTAAAAAAAACCAAACCACACCAATTAACTTGATAAGTTAATTGCGTGCTTTCTGCAACTAGGTGCACATGACACTTCCTGTAACGTCTTTGAGATGATAACTTCTGTCTAAGAAACAAGTTTAAAACCTAAAACTAATGCAGGCATTATCAAGTGGCTGATATTTCACGGAGAAATCAATGGGAATTAGACTTCAAAGTCACTTTAGAAACATTTCCAAACGAACATAAGTGACATAGGGTCACAATCAGTGACATATAAGAGATTTCACTTAGAAGGTAAAATAATAAATCAATAAATCACTACACAAGGCATAACAAAAGATAATATTCACAAAAAAGCTTGCCAAGACTGAGCTTTTTACAAATATAACTTTTATTTTTTTAAAGAGAGAGACATTGCAAGACTTTTTTGGAAGAGCAATGGTTACTTTCCATATTTCTAGAAAAAGCACTCTGCAGAGCAAGCCGTACTGTAATTCTATTTCTTGTCAGTCAGGCAGAAATAACAGGAGTGGCACCATTGCCTAAGTCAAGCACACTGAATAAAATGCCTGTTCCTATTCCTTCTCAAGTCAATGCAAATTTTGTAGGTTGAAACTACCACCAAAATGGGACATCACATGAAAGAGACACAAATTTTGAAATTCATCATTGTGCAACAGGAGAAGTTTACGGAAAATTTTTCAGAGTGGTCACTGACATTAAGAAAGATGGATTTTAAATGTCTCTTATTTCAACAAATATGCACAAAATTGCCTCTCCATTAGAAGCCCAGAACAAGTGATTTGGGATGGAGCTTCTCTCTTATTTCATCAGAAAACTGGCTGCTGTATTGTGCTCTTCAATTCTGCTTTTAGTGGAGAACCAACATGTAGCAGGATGAAAAAGTTCACTTACTGCACTGAAATTGCAAATAAACACATTCAAAGTCTTTCCAAATATATGGTACAAAAAATAATCTATATTCAAATGTGAAATAGACTGAAAAAGAAGGCACATTCTTCTATAAATAAACAGCTCTTACAGCAACTTCTTTTGAAACTGATGGTTTGTTTCCCTGTCTACCATCCTCCCAAGTATTTTGGTCTTTGCACAACTCTTTGTTCTCCTCAAGTTCAACAACAAAAGCCAGAATCTAGATCATCTAACACAGCTCAGATGCTTCTGAATATCTGCACAAAGTACTCAGAGAAACAGACTAAAGAAGTACACGGCAAAAGTAATGTCAAAACCAAGATCTCTGGCTTAAATCATGGAGAAAAAAGGAGATAAAAATTCTAGAGAAAATGGACTTTCAGTCTTACAAAATCATAAGGAACTAAAAGCGTTCTGAAAAATAAAAGTTCTTATTCTCTGTCAAGAGCAGTAAGGACTACTGGATCAAGTGATTTCCCAACTTGTAACTTCTCCCCTTTCAAGTAACCGAAAAAGGAAGGTAGCAGGAGCCATTAAATATAAAACATGGCACAAATGTTACGATGAACATATTTCTGGAAAACATTATACAAGTGAAGCTCAACAAATATTCTGGAATTTCTACACATTCTGACCAAACAGATGATCATATTGCTTAATGTCAGGACTGTAAGTTCACGGCAGCCCAGAACTTGAATAATGAAAAAAGACACATTGCTACTAGTACTGCAAACCAAGAAACACCTCCTGGCCTCAAGTGACTGACACTTTCACATATTCCTTCTGACAGTCAAGAATAAAAAAAAAAATCCTGATTATTACAAATATTGTTGAAAGACTGAAAAACAAACCAGCAGCCTTTTAATCAAAGCTCCTGTTAACAACTGAAAAAAAAAAAGAAGGAAAAAAAAAAGACAAGGGAGTTTCCCCCCAAGCAAACATGAATTTTCAGTCTTCTAGCTACGCAAGTCTAAACCGCATATTAATAGAAACAGAAAATCAAAACTTTTCAGCTGGCTGTTTCAAAAGCAGCTGCAAAAATACTTAATTCTCTTGCTGTCAGAGTCAAGTCTGATACCCTAATCTTGTCTTCAACTTTAAACAAACAAGTCATATTTCTCTGTTTGTTTAGTGTTCCAGCATACGTGGCAAGTAAATATCCTTTTGGCTTCAAAGTTTCCAGGATAGCTGAAGTCATTCTCCTCCTTCATCCAGAATTTTTTTCCTTCAGAGGTAGCAAGACACCTACCAGTTTCAAATTTATCACAACAAACAGTAGAAGCACAGATCCTTTCTACTGGCATGGAACTTTTTATCCAATTATGCCAAATATGTAAGAGTTTTGACTTCAGAATGCCATGGGAAAGCCAAGCCAAGTGTTTTCCAAGTAACTAGTTGTGAATTTTCATCAAAGAGCCCGATGTTTTTTAAACTGCTAAGGTGTCAAAAGCAAGAGCTAACGTTAAAAAGATAAACTACAACCATTTTGAAAATACTTTTGCTTGGCTTTCTATCCATTAACTCTATAACTCTCCTGCACTGTATGAACTTGTAACTCACAAGCTTTTAATCTTGTATTCCATATTAAAGCATTAAATCATAATACAGAAACTGGGACATGTGGCAAGATACTGTCAAGAGACAAGTTTGTTCTGCAGGAACTGGTGCAACTGAAAAGAGAGAGGTTTCTGCAACAGCCACAAAGAACGTACAAAACGATGTTAGCGTGACCTCAGGAAGAATGCGTCTTTTATATTAATCTTATTAACATTTACAGGTTCTCCTCAGAACTGTATTACTTATAGTATATTTGAAAGTAATTATTACTTCAGGAAAGTCAGTCCAACTCTAAGTGATTTTTTGTTCTTAAACATATCTAAGCTAAGCTAACGTATTTCAAGGTTGATGAGAGTGCAGGATGGCTCACATATCCAGACATGAAGACACCTGCACAGAAAATCACAAGGCATATTAAAAGACACCATAGCGAGCGTGGCTCACTGTCAAATGACAGTCACATACTCAGAAGAGGCTCTAATGTGTAGATATCACACCAGATCCCCTTTTGGTTTGACTTTGTTCTGCGAACACTGCTCGCTTGTAAAAGAGCTACCAAACTGCATCTAACGTACCCTACCGCAGAAGAGACATTTTACGCAATTTTCACCCACAAAATAAGTAAGATCAAGTCGTATTCTCCAGAATCTGATGACCACAGACAGCTCTTCTTGAGCTTCCTTTTCATAGTATTTTTAGGAGTCTGGAATTTCAAATCAAATAGTTTAGCAAAGATGAAAAGTGCTCATAGCTTGATGTGAGATAAACTGGTTTGAGAAAAGCTCAGGCAGTTAATGCTAGCAATTCCGAGCTACCATTCTGAACGTCATAACCCTTTTGCCTCTGCTCTTCCTGAAAGTAAGATCTGGTCATTTCTTTTTAAAGGCTATAAAGTTCTTTTATTTTAGCTTTGGTTTTGCCCCTGCCTCCCTGCTATTTCTCTAGAGTGTCATGTACTGTAGGTTGCTTTCTCTCCCAGGTCAGCAATAACAATTCTGAAAAAATTAAACAAAGAGCTATTTTACTTACCATATAATTGCTATATGCATGATCAAACATTTCTAGAACTTGGTTTCTAAAAAAGAAAAAAAGTAGAAGCATTAGTGGTCTGCCTTGCAATGGCCTTTATCACACTATGTTAGATCAGTAAGATGTATTACACTTTAATACCTAAATATCAGTAAGACGTCCTCTACTAAAGTACTCAAGTAAACGATATATAGCACAATTAATTTTTCCTAATTTGACTACTTTCGTTCACTAATTTCTTCCCCTAACATGAAATTAAGTATTTGGGGGATCTTGTTCAACCTCCTGTGTTTCCTCTTAAATAGCTGTAGATGTCACTAACACATTAAAGCTGGAGATGGGACAAATTCCTTGCTCAGCAAAAAACCAGAAAATAGAATTAGTAATCACCAATACTAAATCCAACTGACACGGCACAAATTTCTATCTATGATTCAGAAAAGGACCATAAGTTACAAGATACACTTCTTCCTTGCATTAGAAGTTTTAGCAAGCAAACACTAAGGAAAACCCTTGTAGATACAATTATTTTACATGTTTGAAAAGTAGTCAAGGTAAGAAATGCTAGTAGATAAAGAAAACCCTTGTAGATACAATTATTTTTACATGTTTGAAAAGTAGTAGTCAAGGTAAGAAATGCTAGTAGATAAAATCATACATTTTTTTTTTGAGAAAGAGAGAAAGACAGCACTACTTCCAATCGGTTCTAACTGTCCCACTGAGGAGCCCTTGCAAGGCAAAAAAGCATGCTAATTTCTAGGCTACCATCAGCATAATTTACAATCTCTGCTAAGACTGAATGTAACAGAGAAAAGAACACCACAATGATAATCTAAATATCTGATTTAATTTAATGACTCGGATATTTAAGAAGTCATTTTAACTCATCGAATGCATTAAGTCATCACAAGAGCAGAGTAAGATGCTTTTTCTGAGTACTTCACCCACTCCATCCAGTTTGCAGTTCTGGGATCAGCTGCAGCAGATGGAAGCCCAGGGTCTGGCACACAAGTGCCAGGTCCAGCTGAACTAAGCGTACAACGCTGTTCAGTGACGGAGCATCTAGAAAGCTTCTTCAAACTTTTATTTCTCTACACGCAACTTACATTTCAGTGCCTTTTCTGAAAGAATTTCTGCAACTGACACGATCTTGTCATTAATACACAGATTACCTGCTGATATTCAGAAATGACCCAGCTTGGAGTCCCCAGATACAAACTGTGTCAAGTACATTACTTGCACACACCTCGGGTACCGGATGATACACTGAGTGCAAGTTATGAATGCAAGAATTTTTAAACCTTCACTGAATGAAGGTTAAAGTCCTTATGTAGTTACATGAAGAAAACGTATAAAACATTATATACTCCAAGTACCCTGAGAACCATAACCATAAACACGAGAGTTAAATATCAACTTCTATCTAATGGTTAATAACTGCAAAAGTCTCCACGGAGTTTCTCCAGCAGACTTTTTGCATCATTATTATATCTAACTGCAAAAGTCTCCACGGTGTTTCTCCAGCAGACTTTTTGCATCATTATTCCGTGGAACTGACTAGTAGATGGGACGAGGATGATGATGCAACTGCCCCAGCAATACACCAACATCACGATACCTGTCTGACTAAAAAAATCCTACTCCACACAGTGCAATACGTTGCCACCTGTATTGTAATCTTTATTCTTCAACTCAAAACCATATTAAAAGTGAATAAGCTTCTTGCAAGCACGTGCATGGAGGATCTAGGTAGTTTACCTTATATACAGGAACTAGGAGGTAAGGAAACATGTATACATTTACCTTTTTTATGACTCCGGAAAACTCACATGTTCCAGAGGCATAGCCATAATTAGACAAACTGACTACGGATTTAGATTTACCTTTGATCACTTTTACCCATAATTACACACAACCACTGGCTACAATCCTCCAGACTGGAGTTCCCGAGCGTTTGGCAGAAGGGTTTGACCCCACACACAGCAGAGGTGATGAGGGGCTGCCCGCCCCAAATAGCCGTGGCCACCTGACCAAAATACCAGCCTGTCTCTCTGGCATACACGCCCCGAACACCGAAGGGAGACCCGATGCCACGCATCTCGTACAGTCCCCGGGGTGGAGGGAGGAAGGAGGGACAGGAGAGACGTTCCCGGAGTAAGTACCGCTGGGCAAGGGGCGCACCCGTCAAGCCCTGACGGTAGCGCCCCCCCACGCCTCAGCACGGCGAGGGGACGCCGGTGCGGAGCCACCACGGGCGGTGGACTCGACGCGGGCCCCGCCGGCCTCCGCCCCGGCCCCACAGGGAACCGGCGGCCCCGAGGGCGAGCCGGCGCAGCCGCCGTTCCCCCCCCGCTCCCGGCCCGGCCCGCCGCGGCGGCGCTCACCCCAACCGGCGCTTCTCCTCCTTGCTCATGGCCCCGGCGCCCGGGGCTGCCGCTAGCACGGAGGAGGCGGAAAGCAGGCCCAGGGCCAGGATCTTCCACGGCCTCCTCCAGCGGGGCCCCCGGTCGCCGCCGCCCCCCTGGCAGCCCGCAGCTCCGCTCATGGCCGCGGCCGCCTGCCCGCTGCCGCTAGGCCCGGCTCCGGCCCATCCCGCCCGCTGCCCGCCCCTCGCAGCGCGGCGGCCGCGGCTCCCAGCGCCGACGCGCAGGCGGAAGGGACCGGCCCTCCGCTTTCCTGTGGCGTAGCCAAGGAAACCGCCTCGCGCGGCCACTTCCGGGTCCCCCCGCACGCGCCGCCCCGCCAAGCCAATAGGAACGGGAGAAGGGCCCCCGCGAGGCGGGAGGGGCGCGCGGGCCACGTAACGGCGGCGGCACGCCGGGCGAGAGGGCGACGTGGACAAAAGGAGGGGCGGGGAAGGGCGGGAAGGGAGCAGCGCGCATGCGCGGTGGCAGCGGACTACAACTCCCGGCATGCACCGGCACGCCCCGCAGTGGCTCCGCACGAGGGGGCGATCGCCCGCCCGCCGGGATCTGTAGTTCGCCGTCCCTGAGGAGAGGGTCAACGGCCGGCCGCCGGCGGGGGAACGGCTCCAGCCGGCAGCCGAGCGGCGAAACGAACCCAAAAGGCTGGGAGCGCAAGGCAGGTGTCTGCACGCACCCTCCGGCAGCCGCTTGAAGTGAACTGTTTTAATACCAAACCCCCAAGTTAAATTACCACATGCACACACAAAAAAAACAGCTTCCCAGCCATGGAAGGGAAGAGCTTCTTTTATTTTCATGACAAGCGTTTTTACAAAGTTATAAGCGAGATACAACGTGTTTCATATCCTGTCCTTTAAACCCGGCAACTCCATGAAATAAAAAGGGTCACGTCCCCCAGCCCGCGCCCCTCAAGGCACCACAGCTCTCCTAACCCTCAACCCTCCAGGCTGGGAAAAGTGACTTAACTGTAGTTCCCAGTTTACAGGAGAAATAACTCATTCCACGTGAGTGTAGGAAATTCCAAGAAAGTGACAAAAATTACTGAACGAGTGGATTATTTTAATTGGTCCAACACTACCTTGCAGATTGCTGACCTCTAAATTGCTGTCGCCTCTACCCAAGTCTGGTTAAAACAAAATGCTACTCTCTATCCATTTGGACCGCCTCTACCCAAGTCTGGTTAAAGACAAAACAAAATGCTACTCTCTATCCATTTGGAAACATCTGAATGTATAGAAAACATCCACAAAGGCAAAAAAGTTCAGTCCCCTAGCCATGAGGAACTTCAATTTAAGTTGCAGAACAGGCTAAATCTTCCCTGTTCTTTCCCATCCTACTTGTGAAAAACAAATATGCTGAGCATCTGTATTCAACAACTCAGTTCTTTAATACTACAAGAAAACATTAACCAAATCTAAGCCTGCCATGGAAATAACTCAAAAATGACTAGGATGGAAACGTTTATGCTAAATATTTTCTGTACAGATGTATCTAATTCATATTAGTCGTAAACAGATTTTGTAGGAGACTGCAGCCTTTTCACAGTTGCTGTCTTGCTAGTCCTCTTTCGTACAAAACACTGTTAAAAATGCATTATGTCCCTTAATCTTAGCACGACTAAAAAGAGACTGCTGCTGCTTAACTGTAAGGCACGCGTTATAAATTTGAAGTTAACATTCAGTACCAATTAGAAATAACTAATGATTTGTAAAAAAATTGGCAGACAGTGGTTTGCATGTTTACAAATTAGTATTTTTGCAGGAAATATAAGGAGGAGGAAACGAGTCAAAGTACTTTTGCAAGCAAAACATCTCTGACAATGTTTCTACACCATGGCACGGCTTCTGGAATAAACAGGAGTTGCATTTTTTTTTTACAATAGTGACGTTGCAGTTGGTCCAGTTAGTCAACAATGTTCCTTACTTAGGCAGTAATATTTGCCTGTTCCTCTAGTGTCAATTCTCTGTTAGTATTATAGCATGTTTTGATAGCATTAAATAATAGACTTTGCACAGTTTGTTGAAGTTAAATGCCAACAAGTATTATCCATTCGGGACTTTGTTATTTCTTCCCATGTCTTTATGGGCATACATCCTGTAGTCCTTACTGTACTTACCATTAGTCTTTGCTGTTCTGTACTGTATTATATCTATCCACAAACAGTCTGAAAGACCAGGCCCAATTTTCAAGGTGCCTTAACCGACCTCTAAAGTGAGGTCTTGATCTCTAAAGCCCAATTTATTAAAATACTGTTTTTCATTTCCAGGCTTTTCTGTGCACAGTCTTTATATTGTGCATGCAAACGATGCATATAAGCAATTTTATGCATAGATCATGATTTGATATGGATAATAATATGCTGGCTATGAAGGCAAGAGGTCTCATTTTAACAACTGCTTTTGAAATGTGATTCTGCCCTCCAAAATCTAAGAACATGAATAACCTTTGGCTCCTTTTTGCTCCAGTTAACGTGTGTATTAGAAATTACATGCAATGATTATGATATTTCACAATTTTTGCAATTTATGGTATAGTTTAGGCACCTAGAAAGGCCTACAGAACTGGGTAATTAACTCAGTAAGAATGGGAATGGCAGGACTCTCAATATTCTGTATGATATATAGGTGAATATATTTTATGGTGGGAAGTAAAACAGAAAGATGCTGCCCATTGGTTACAGTTATTGTAAACATTCTCATCTTTCCCTTCCATAAAATAAAACAAAATAAAATAGCCATAAAGTGCTCTGGAAGGCTAAATAACCCAGAAGTGCAGAGTGGGACTGAGAAACCTGCTCCCATATTTTCCCCATTTTAAATATAGCAATAAGAGGAAAAAAAAAATCAGAACACTTGCTTGTCTTTAATATCCATCAAAACTTTAAAATAATTAAGTGATCAGTTTGCAGAGTTTGCTTTTGAGCAACCTACTAAATTTACTATTTGGTTCTGTTTAACTACTAAAAGTTTTATTTATTTCCCATATACTGCATGCAAATACTAAAAGCATCCTTGAATAACAATGTATGTACCAACCACCTAAGATTCATAGCAGTACTTGTGAAATCCATGCATTTAAAAATAATGAGCTACTCCCCTGCTAAACCACTAAGAATGGTTCAGTTGTTAAAATAACTTTATAGTTGGGAGTGAGCTGATTTTGAAGCGTTCGGTGGTCACATTGTCAGACTTTTTCTGTAACCATAAAAGGTAGCAAATTTTAAGTGAAAGATGAAGTTCCCCAACAGTAACCTGGTTTTAAATAGTGAGGGCTTTAACCAAAAAGAAACCTATCACCCATCGCTCAGGAAGGGATCCGTGCTAACACTGCAAGAGCTGGTAATACCACAACAAAGCCCATTTCCTCTAGCCCTGACCCAAGGAAGTATTCAGAATTAAAGAGGGATTACTGGAGTAAATGAATCCTGCAGGGCTGGGCTGAAAAATGTTTCTTACTCTTCAGAGTTTTGCTGTGCATAACTATCTTCTCTGTTTTCTTCTGCGAAAATATCATTCACTTCTGTGCTTTTTATTTCCGTGTGTGAAGATGATTCATCCTCTGGCTTTCCTTCACCCTCAACAGCTTTTGTATCTCCTGTGCCCTGTGGGGCACTAACCTCGCCCTGCTCCAGCACCAAAGAAACTGGCATGTCTAGCAGTCCCGTTCTTGGGTTTTCTGCATCCAGAATGGGCACTTGTGTTGTGTCTGCATTTTCAGCAGGGTTATAAAAAAAGCTCTCAGTCCCTCCCTCCACTGGGATGGCATGGCTATTCCCTGCTCCTCCTTCCTCCCCATCTAATATTTCACCTTCAGACACATTCTCAGTGTGTTGCTCTGGCTGACATCTATTGCTTTGGCAGCTTCCCACACCTGTGCACCAAACGCTTTGCTTCATCTCCACCTCTGCCTTTGCCTCCTGAGGCGTATCTGAGCTTTCCACCAGCCATTCTGCTTGTGCTGTATTGCAGGCCCTCTCAGACACACTGACTAAATTCATACCATCTGTCCCCAAACTAGATGAAGATGGCTCGTCCTTCTTGAACTCAGCGCATTCTGCTGTATCTTCACTGGTCATTGTCTGGCTCACTTGAATTTCTGCCACAGCCATTTCACTCATCTCATCATTCCCTTTATTGTGCTCCTGCAGCTTTAATAGCTCAGCTTCACAAATCTCCTTTGTGTGCTCAGGTGGAGTATCGGCTGGTATCTCAACCATTACCATTAGCAAACTCCTTATCTCATTCACATCATCAGGGGATTTACAACTCTTTTCTTCTGACTTGCTTTCTTGTTCAAGATTGTCCCCAAACCCTCCTTTCCCTGTGTTTTCATCTTGGGAAATAGTTCCTTGGTCATTGCTTTCTTTTTTACTGTCCTCTTCAAACCCTGTTCCTACTGCATTTTCACTCTGAGATGATTTTTCCACGATTTCTTTTTCTACCTTGGTTTTCTTTTCAGCATTCCTTAAAATCTCTGCTTCTGCTTCATTATCATGTGGGGAAGTCAGCTTTATCTCAGTAACTTCTTCCCAAGATTTGCTTTCTTTTTCAGTGCCACCAACAAATGCAGCGTCTGTTGCCATTCGACTCCCAGAAGTTACCTTTTCCTCCAGCGCTCCCTCATGTACCTGAAGTTCTTTTTTAGGGCTGCCTCCAACATCTTTCACTGCAGTCTCAGTCCCAGAATCTACTTTTTCCTCCACACCTTCTCTTTGTGTCTCAAGCTCTTTCTCAGTGTTCACTGCACGCTTTGCTTTCACCATGTCTTCGTTCTCCAAAACGGTTTTTCCCTCTGCAACTTCTTGTTTTGTAAGGGCAGCTGAAAGGGACTCCTGGTTTTCACCAGCATCTGTAATGACCACCAGCTGATCACCAGCTGTATTAACAGAAGCGACTGCCTCTTTGTCTGATGACTTTCTATCATCAGCATCCTTCTCCCAAGAAATCTTTCCTGTCACGATGAGGGTTTCGTCACTGTGAGTGTCAGTGTCTGACATCTCGGCTCGGGCGGAGGAAGGCTTCTTGGCGGGAGTGGTTTGTGCTGATCCTGAAGGGGTCTTCAGGTCCGTCAAACTGGACACGCTTTCACAGGGCAAATTCAAGTTATCTTCAAAGAGGTTGTGCTTCTTCATAATGGCAGCTTCTTTTATCACTAGATAAAACAGAAAAACCAAACTGTTTTGGAAAGACTGACAAGAGGTACATTGAAAAAGTGTCTTCCTGAGTTTCT